CCACTCTGCACGTTCTCTTCCGTGGCTCCGGAGAGATTAACGTGTTTAATTATAAGGATCAGCTTTATACAGCTGTATCCCTTGATAAGGCAGGGTTGTTACGCAATGAATTATGATTATTGAAGTGATAGGATGACGATGAGTGGTAAAGGCACCATCACAAATACGACCCTGCCACCGGGAGAGATGTGCATCAACTGATGCCACTGCAGTCCCTCTGACAAGGATGTCCTAAGTTCGAGTCCCGACGGTGGTAGGATTTTTCGATACTAACTTGTAAGCAAAGAGGTTCACAGCCATTAGCATGGAGAGTCTTTCGAGCTGATTCGCCCCATGGACGTCTCTAGTAGCGCCTGAGGGAATGTTTACCACTCACTTTGCCAGACGCCGGTCTGAGCAAGTACTGCCTAAAGTCCTTAGATAGAGAGCAGCGCATTGCCCTGCGCCGCAAATTCTGCCTCTTTATATCCAGTGATCAGGAGAGTTCAATCTGCGTGTGTTGAGAACCATCAATCTACCCCCAAACCAATATTAATATACTCAAAATCCCAATGTGCCATCAGCTATGATTTCTCCTCAAATGCTTTTCGCTGCCTGGCAGGGCTATCGGTTGAGATAATATTAATGGCGGTGGCCATTCATTTTGCCTTATACACTATCTAGGGACTCTGGTGATTTCCGAGTAAGAACGGTCGATAGAAAGTGGGATTTTGTTGGGTGGGGATACAATGAAAGGGCTTTAATTTTGCCGTCACTGACCATGGTCCCTAACATGCAACAGGCGTGTCATGATGCACAAACAATTTTTCCGACCTTGGAAAAACCACTTGCACTTGTAACTAAGGGCGTCTCTGTCAGTTATATCAACGCGTCACAGGAGGTGGGCGACGTCGCACGCCACCAAGGGTCTGGACGCGCCCGAGCCTGGGCAGAGGCACTGGCGCTCTGTGAAATCTTTCAGCGTGGACGGCCAGACGCCAGCGTGAACGCGCAATCCGACCCGTCAGATATTTCTCTCTTTCCCCGTCGCAATTTCGTAATATGATTTGTTGCAACTTTCATTTGAAGCACTGTATGTGATTTTCTTCTTTGTCTTTCCTCTTAAGAAAAGTGCACGAGTTGCCGGCTCGCCAGTGACGACTTTCTTTGATGAAGAAAATGTTTAATTTTATTATATTTGTCGAGGAAATAGGTTGTTGGAAATGAAATACATTATGCATTTTAAGACAATTACTCACGAAATACCGGAGGAAGAGAAGGGAACAATTGATGTAATGTTTTCGAAAGTGTGGGCAAACAACCCTTACCTCGCTCCGCGCCGTGTCGCATTGAAACTTGCTGCCACACCACCATTTTCCGTCACTGAGTTGCACGTGAACGCACAACACAAAAATCAACTACACCGATTTATCAGGTATTGTGTCACCTGCCAGAGTTCAAAGCGACCATGGGTTGCATTTGATGCAAACCACACCTCAAAATTCACACAGCACCACAAAACCACAATAAATGCATTTTAGCTTTCGGTTCGTAGGACATCACAGGTGTGTCAATGATATATTACGTTATATAACTAAACTGGAGAACAAATACTAATTCTATTTATCATACGATAGTAGTGGAGTGCTGCTGATTTGCAACCTGGATTGCATTTAAATCCTAGATTTGCATTTTCCAAAGCTTTGGGCGCAAAAAATTATAGTGAAAATAGTGTTTAAATGGCATGTGATGTGAATAATGGAAATCGAGAACAGTGGGAAGGAATGTTTAGAAAAATGAACACTTTCTACGAGTGCTTGATAAAACCAAACGAGAACTCGTTTTGTTTATAAATTCCATTTCACTCATTCGTAATTTGAACTTTGCTACCTAGGAAATTAGTGGCTCAGCCGCCACTTCGATAGGGTCATCTAATAATATGTGTTGTGTTCTGGCAGTTTGTCAAGTCTATTGCTCGGTCTGAAAATGCTCCTTCTTATTACTCCGTTATTACGTGGACTCTTTCTTGGCATTAGCTTAGAAGTTATGAATTGGTTATATTTCTGAATACATTACTTCATAATGATGATTACGGTTGGAGAAAAAGTAGATTAAATAATGTTGTGTGCTTCAGAAAGAAATAACTTTCTCGTCCCGAATTTTCGAACGTCAAATTTTATTCATACGATTTTCACCCAAGAATTTGTTTCTATTATATTCATTCCTTTCCTCTAGCTTTGTGTTATCTCCTCTCCTCTCTCTTTCTTTCTCTCTCTCTCTTTCTTTCTTTCTTTCTTTCTTTCTTTCTCTCTCTCTCTCTCTCTCTCTCTCTCTCTCGCTTTCCCTTACCTCTCCTTCCTCTCTTTCCCTTACCTCTCCTTCCTCTCTTTACCTCCTTTCTTTTCTCCTCTGCTCCCTTCCTATCCTTCGTTTTCTCATAAACACAATTTACAATAAAAATTTGCAGAAGCCAAAATATATTGCATTTAATATTCCACTTTAGCGCTATCTTTTGTTCGGATGACAGTTGTTTGTATCGATCGTATCGATAGGGTCCTGAGCTTAGATACTGGGAAGTTATGATAGGAGAAACACGCACTATCTTGAGTTCTTCCTTTGTGTAATAGGAAGTATCATTGGTGAAAAGAAGCAGCGCCACAGAGACCACTTAAGTGTCTCGGGCTCCAAATGCCGAGGCCCTCGGGGTCCCATGTATCATTGGGCTCTACGCTGGGAGAAGCTGTGGTTAGCATCACGCTTCAGCAGCCTTCGCGCGGGTGGTCACTTCTTGTTGAATAGTGTCCCTGGAGTGATCCGGAGCCGTAGTGAAGATGAGCAATGGGATGTCCTCAATGTCTTCTCTCTTGTTTTGATTCTTGTCCGCAAAGCCTGTAGTTAGTTGCGTCACCAAATGAGTTTGATAACAGCTTCTCGGAGATAGTTCGAATGTTAATCGTATAGTTACGAGTGTACGTCCATTATTTTCGCACTAAAATTCATTTCTTCTTGAACTCTATAAAGTCGTAAGTGAGAAACATGGAAGTTACTTTGTATGATATTTTTTCTAACTAAAAACTTCTGATATTATCGAACATATAAATTTATAATTACTATCGACTAAATGTGTGATACCATTACCAAGTGGACATCCAGCATTATCTCCAGAAATGAGTACCTTGAGAACATGTCAATGATAAAATACTTTCTCATTAGAATTCTACATTACTGTCAGTTTGAGTTATTCATCCCAAAATTGATTTCGGCAAATGCGTTTGCGGAAAATAAAAAAAATCCCATCGAAAAATTATGTTCTTAACATTTACAACTAATTAAAAATTTCAGATGATTGAAAAAAAGGTTGAGTTCCAAATACAGTGATGACAGTGTTCTCACTACCAGGAACCATTTTCAAGGTAAAGAATAATTACACAAAACGAACATGTAAACAACGTGGTCACCAAGCAGATGAGGTAAACTAGTCACTCTGCGTGCCGTGTTTATCTTTATGAGAATGTGTTATTTAAGTACCCGAAAGAAGTTAAACGGGATTAGTTGTGTCAATAAAAGTTCAATCACAATCTGAATGCTGATAGAGGTTACAATTTAAGCAAGTATCATAATTTTCAATTCACGAAATTGTATCTTAAATTAATTCAAGTTTGCTCTCGTTTTGTTAGTTGCCTGCAACTGTGATCTAACGAAGGGACAACTTATGTCTATAAATGGATGAACTGCATTGGGGAATATTTTTGAGCAATTAACACCAATACATTGATTTATTAATCTAGTCTCTTTCATACATTATGTACGCTGTGCCATTCTGTAGCACCACTTACACAATTTATGTAAATGAAATTAATTTTGAACTAAATGAAGCACAACCGCGAAAGTGGCTTGAGAACTGAAGAGAATTAACAAGTTTCCTCAGTTTTGCCCTTCATTTTCTTATGTCCACGATTTCCTTAGCCATTTCGAGAGTAAGTGTAGTATTTAAGTGGTGCATAATTTGTTCCTAACTTTAAATACAATATGGATGAATATTATATAACATTTCTAAACCAAATCGTATAATTGCAATAAACTGATACGAAAAAAAGGAGGGAAATGCCTTCAAATAATTGTGTGCGGAAAAATGTCGGCAAATTGCAAACTATTTTGTTGGTGCCCAATTTTCAGTTTTCAGTCGTTTGTAACGCACCTTGTATCATTTTTCAGCCATGTGGGAGGTTGCGCATCTTATTCTGTAGGAGATTCGTTCGATTCTGCGAGCACTTCTGCTGAGTAAGAGAAACAGTTCGCGCTGTGCATCCCTTCCGAGAACGCGCTAGTGGAGTTCATTTCGCGGACGGGTTGCCTGGGGTTGTCACGCCAGGCGCGTGTCTTTACATTTGTAATCCAATTTTTCTCGTGCGCTTCTACGGCGTTTTCCAAAACGAATACCTGTAGTAATTGTGAAGTTCAAATAAAAAAGTAAATAGAGAAACTGAACCTGTTGCTTAATTTTATGGATTAGAGTTTTTTCCGAAGCATCGATAAAACATTTAAGCAACCTGGATTAAATAGGCAAAAAAGAAAATGAGAAAAAAAAAACAACGAAGGCGCCAAGAGAGAGTCATGATACGCCAAATAACCTTCCTGAGTGCAATGCTGAAAAATATTCCCGCCTCGGGACGGTTTTTAAATGCACATGATATGTCTGATCGATGCATCAGGTATAAAATTTCTGGACATAATCGCGTAATTGCTAGAAATGATATGAAAAAAATCACGTTTAAATATGCACAAAAGCATCAGGGAAATGTCATGAAACTCCACTGTATTTGCTGATGATCTTGAAACATTCGCTTTACGCCCTGAGGAAGGTCGCAGAATGGCGACCGAAACGTCGGCACCTTCGCCATGGACGCGGCGTCACCCGAACAGCCTAGTAAATACGATCTTGAAACAGTTCGCGCCCGGTAACGCATCTCGTATCGTCTACC